AATCATTTTACAGATTCGCGAGGAATTTGACGGATGGACGAATCCGTTGCACACACGAGGTACAGGCGGCTGGGTTTAGACCTCCGCTTCAAAACCACATTGGGCACATCAAAAATGTCTGAGGTACGAGCCGATACGCATAGCTTGCGTAGTCCGTATTTCGCATTTTTAAATAGCCTGTCAGTAACCCTTTTTGTGGGAACTCGAGGAAATCGTTCAAATTCGACCTAAACGAAATCTCATGATGATACAATACTTAAGTAAAATTATGAGCTAATGGAATTATGAGTTCCCCAAAAGGGGCACAATAAGTCTTTTTCTTGACAGGCTCAATGGACAATATTATATTATTCGCTAGGAATCAACTCCCATGGGTTGGATAGGCATCGAGATATACGGCAATATAGGTCACAGCCGATCCGCGATCTTGAATTTTCCTACGTTGAAATTCTGAACAAACATGAAGAATAAATGTTCAATTTTTCCACACTAATTCCCCTAATGATTGAATGATGATACATCGATCGCACACAAAACACATTGCGCTAAATCTGGGAGTTAACTTTAATGGATAAACTCCACGGTGGCAAAGGTCTGGCAAAATCCGTGGTGATTGGCTCAAAACTCGTGACATTCGCTCGAAACTTTCTAAATGCGCAAGCGGAGAAATGAACATTGTTATTTATTATTTATTTAGGGTTCGCCGAGGAATTGTAGGAATCGATTAGTAACAGCCTAAAATTCTCGGAAATCCACCGTCACTTCGCAGCGAAACAGCAACTTAACCGTGCAGGTTAGGCCACGAGTTCAAAGGCCACTGGTTTTGTGGCTTTAAAAGGGCGGTGCTCCAATCTGAACTTTGAAAGCTTTTTCTGAGTTTTGGCATAAATTATGTATACAAACTGACACGACGCATAGGAGGGGGGCATTACGCTGAACTTCTTGCTGGATTTGCGATATACTTTACACACTAAAGCCTTCATGTCTATTGTAAAGACTCCAAATTCTTAACTGAATATTTGATTAATGAATATTTTGTTAGAGAATAATGGTAATTCCTCCTTTTTTGCGTTAAAAGGGAGGTAAAACTCAATTGTGAATGATTCTTGTCAGTCTTCACTTAACTATGAAAAAAAATTCTTTCACCAAAACAGTTCATTTTCTCTTCAACGGTTTTCTAAGCCAAAGTAGGTCATTTTTTCAATTTTTTAACGATCGGGAACGGTAACATGTTTACCTTTCATAGTCCAAAACTTCAGCCATACAAACTAAAACCACCAGAAAAAACAATGAATAGTAAATATTTAATAAACTTTTGATTCGTGGTTTTATTTTGAATTAATTAGCTCAGGATGTATCTGTGTTGAGCCAGTGCTGAAAGGACAAAATGTATCCATTATGACAGTATAGAGAAGTATGACAGGGTAGAGAAAGAACATTGCTTGATTGAGAGGCCCACCACGGCGGCTGTTGCATCATCATGCATCAAGTTGAAGCGGTACTATTGAAGGCGCTCTGAGCAACTATTGCACCACAGAGGTGTTGCACAGTATCAGACAGAAATGAAGGCGCCCTTACGTATCAAAATCGACTGGTATCGTTTACCACTGTGTAGAGATTCACTGTCCTACGATGTGTTGCTCTTGTTCGATCGATTTTGTGAAACTTGGTATGAAGTAGCATTCTTTGAGAAGGAACATGAATTCCAACTCAAATTTTAAAAATCCGGAAATCCAAGATGGTGGATACACCCTAAAACGCCATGTTGGTTTCTGTCCGATCGCTTTTAAAAAACTTCAAAACACGAGCAATTTTTTACGTCAAATTTCCAAGTCAAAATTTCAAACTCCAAGATTACGGAAGTGGCCTACAGTGATAACTAAGTGCCTCTGAAGGTATCCAGCTTTGCGATTGAGAAGCCCACTATGTTTCTACTCAGTTTCAAAATCGATATTCTCATAGCCAATGTACACCTTGATATCGGCGTGCCCATGAACGTTTTGTTTGTAAGCGACCACTCCAAATTTCCCGTAACCAAAGTATACTAAAAACGTTAATATCTTAGTAGTTCATGACGGTAGTTTTCGTTGCGCGAATCGTGTTACCGACTTCAGTCGGTAATCATGTATCAGAATGCTTAAATTCGCACCTAGTCTAAGATTTCATTTCTATGTGTCTTTAAGGTGACTGTTGACAATTTGACGAAGGAGTGATGAGTTCATTGTATAAAATCATTCACTCAGACGCTGTCAGATTCATTTTCTCAAAACCTCATTTTTGCAGTTATTGCTCTGCCAGCGGTGATTTTGGAAGTTGGCAACAATGTTTTTCCTCCAATTAAATGACACGAAACAATCGATTCTTGGCGAGGCAGCTTGCCTTATTTAAAATCGATATTTTTAATGGATTTAAATGGAGGAAAGACGGTGTTGCCAACTCGAGAATCGCCACTGCTGCTCTATTCGTTAATGCGGCATCACAGATGTTACCGAAAGCTGCACTGCGGACCGTCTTGATATAACTTTCGCCCAACGGACTCCAACGCGGATCGTATCCAGGATCTCGAGTGCCCGGCATCGTTTAAGCGAGGTGTCGAAACTAACGAATCAACGTCATTTCCATCCGACATCGACACCGACTTCCGGGTCCGATGCGGGGATTCCGGGATCCCGGCCGCATTGCACCAATCCTCCCTCCGGGCCGTCCCCGGGAAGACGTCAGGAACACTACCCTTGCGAAGGAAGAACGCCGTATGAACCGTCAGACGTTGCCAAAGTCCCTTCAATCGAATCGAAATTTTCAAGGAAATCCGAAATGTACACTGGAAAAAAACACATTGGATCTAGAGTCCAGACTCTTGAAAACATTGACAAGAAAAAATACTCTTGATTCAATCAGATTTAAGCTTAAATCAAAAGGAAATCCACTCAAATTAAGAGGCTTGGTTCTTGATTTAAGCAAAAACCCGATTGAATCAAGAGTGTTTTTTCTCGTCGATGTTTTTAAGAGTCTGGACTCTAGATCCAATGTGTTTTTTGTTTCTAGTGTATACCGAAAATAAGAGAAGTTGAATTAACATTCTGGATGTAAAAAAAGTGTGCAAGAACTTGTAAAATGGTGATTTACTCGCTTCAGCAGTTACTCTAGCAATGCCAAGATGTAAAACTAACTGTCGCGGCTGGTGATTCAGCAATTCATAAGTTCTCGCACATTATTTTTACATCCGGAATGTTCTGTCAACTTCACTGTTTTCGGTGTATTTATTCGAATTTTTTTTTGTAAATTTTATTCCCGATTGGATTTAAATTATTTGAAAAGTTCAAGAGTTCACGTATCTCTGTTTGCAACGTTGCAGCTTCATTGCGTCATACTGCATTTTTCCTCTAGCAAAGTAGTTGACATAATTTCTTTATAATTTCCTTGATCTTTCTTCTCGGTTAACAGAATATTCCGTATGAAGTTCAAAATATAAATATTGCTTGTCCTATATCGAAAAAATCAAAAAGAAGTGACAATTTTGAAACACAGTGCACTTTGATATTGACGGTAAAACTACCAGACCACGTATCTCGTTTGCGGTGTTAAAAAATCTCCGCTCCTGATTTTTTATTCATACAGGAGAACAAATCAATATCATCTCTTGAAATCTTCACAGAGTTTTCTTCTCACAGAGAAGAAAAAACACGGAAGTTTTCAGGAATTATAGCGTTAAGTAGTTTTAAATTAAAAAATCAAAGTAAGATAGAAAGTCTGCAACGTCTTCAACCGAAATACGTGGTCTGGTAGTTTCACTATGGTATAGGTAGACACTTGACCCGATTTTTTTTTACCCGATACCTGATTTGGAAAACTAATTTAATCCAAATCATACCTAGGCCGTGTTGCTTACGTCGCCCTTTAAGTTCCGCTACAAATAAGATAAACGGAACCGACACAACATGGAATTCAAGTAAGAGAGAGGACTCGCTTTGATAACGGCGCAGAGATACAACTATTCATGCTTGATGGATGTCCGTGTTGTATTTGCAAAATTGAAGGCGCGATGCTGCGCTCTGTGCCGTCAATGAGGTATCACTTGGATTCGAGAGAAAAGGTAAAAAAAAAAGGTCCGATTACATCTCTCCTATCTTCGGTTGTTTTGCAGCCATTGAAGTACCACTACAGATTAGACAGACGGGACCAACACAAAATGGGAACAGAGCCAAGGAAAGGTCGCGCGTTGATGACGGCGTAAAGATACAACTATTCGTGCTTGATGGATGTCCGTGCTGCATCTGAAAAATTGAAGGCGTTATGGCACGAGGCGTGAGCTCGCGATGCTCCACTCTATGCTGCCAATGAAATTTCGCTCTGACTCGGGAGAGAATTCATAAAAACGAGACCCAAAAACGTCGCTCCTATCTTCGGCTGTGATGATATTTAATGTTGTATTTTTTTTTCAATTGTATGTCTTATTCTTTTTTAAAGATATATTTGTAAACCTACATCTCAGTTCGGATGTACCAGCCCCATAGAACCCGCGGAGTACGTGTTTTCAGCGATCCTTGGGTCAATTTGGCCCGCCCTCTGTATGTAAGGGTTAAAGTCCATTATTTGACTGAATCTCAGTACATATACCATTGCTTATAACTGGACTAAGTAAACGATTGGCTCATAGAGCACTCCACACAAAAAAACAATTGAACTAACTTTATAAATGGACAGTGAAAAATTTGGATCAAACAAAATTGGATAAAATATCTAGGCACCTGCTCCTTCGATGTGTGGTTTCGCACTACGGCCACCGATATGTTTTTCTCTCGTGCCCCGCTGTGGAGCGGGTTTTAGACCCCGATGGATTGGGGTATGAGCGAACTTATTTTTGACATCACTACGGGTAAGACACCTTCCCCTTCCCCCCCAAAAAAATAAGAATCAAGCATCGAGACGCCATTTCGTGACCAGCGTAAATGACCCGTCGACGTTGAAGTTATTTGAGTAAAGGGAAGTAGCGCTTACCTGTTTTTCACGAAGAAAGAGGATGATGACGATTAAGTTGGAGCTGATTCCGAAGAAACCGATTAAGAAGAGAACAACGGCCGCCGCCACGTACCCTTCGGGAGGTAAAGCATCCTCCCCTTCGCTCATCGAGCTCATACCAGCTGCAAAAAAAAAACACCCAATGGAATGTCCATGAATCAAAGCATGCATCAGATCTTAGTTTTACTTTGGTTCCCATAGATTCCTACCTTTGTAAGTCTCTCAATTCTCATTACAGGTATTTAATTTTTGGAAAAATTGTAATGCCCCTCTAGACCCTTTTTCTATTTTAACCCTTCCAGCCACTCCATCTCCCCCTTTTGCCCCTCAACCCCTGCGACCAGATCCCAAACTTTTTTGCAAGATGGATGATAAGTAATTAACTTTTTAAACTGAACAGCCATGAACACCGAAAAAAAGAGATTTTGAGTTGACATCCTGGATGTAAAAAGTGTGCGGGAACTTTCAAAATGCTGAAGTAACCGCTACAGCAATTACTTTAGCAATGTTAAGATGTAAAACTAACTGCTGTAGAGGGTAGTTCAGCATTTTGAAAGTTCCCGCACACATTTTTTACATCCAGAATGTTAAATCAACATCACTTTTTTTTCGGTGAATGTACATGTACCCATGTACTCGGTGCGTCTCTGAGATCTCAGTCCATTTCTGACTGCTCAATACTGGGAAATTACCGCAGTCCACGGAGGTAAAATTTTACCGCGATGGCTTTCACCAAATTACGTAAAAAATCAGATTTTGATTTATCGACAAGAATCTATCCAGTGTCATGAGGAATAAGTTATAAGAAGTTTACCTCATTTTGTTATGCTCCTTTGACGAAAAGATATTTCTGTATTTTTACGTGAATCATTATGTCTACACTACCCCTCCCCCCTCCCTCACGATATGTGCATAAAAAGAATGATAAAGGTTTCAGCTTAAAATCCGGTTAGGATCCCTGAATTATTTGAAACATAAGTATCGTTTTTTAGTTCAACAGTCAACCTCAAGACCGTGGAAAAATCGAGAGAACACTCAAATATTTGAAAATGCTGAGGCCATACTCGATACTTATACACTTGACACGACATCAAGAAGCTCTTCCTGAATGCATAATCGATCAACTCATCTATTCGACCCGCTTGGTAGCGCCGTTCACATCCTGCATAAAAAGCTTGTTTTCCGTAGAAACTTCTTGAACTATGATCCAGACCAAAAACAAACCCTCTTATTCCCGATCATTCTTGGCTTCACGATGCAAAAAGTGTTACGGGGAGATCGTCATATGAACCATCAAAATACAATGTATAGGTTATTCAAACGGTTTTACAATTTTTTTTTAACTATTGAGGCTCCTTTCTGTAATATTTAATACTGATAGGTTTTTATGAGTCTTTATTTCTAGATTCAACTGAACGTCCAACTGAAGTTGTGCGAACCATTTAGATGTATGAATGAAAAGGTGAGAGTTAGGGCTGTTGCTTCATGTTAAAGCTTTCACCTAATAATTATTTTTTCGTTCGTCAATTGGTCCATGTTTGACAGTAAACATTTCTTAGAAATTTCGCTAAACTACCAAAACAATTCACAAAAAATTCGAAAGAAAATTTTGCAACCATTCTTGGTAAATTAATACATTTTTAAATTAATCTTTCCAGAGTTTTCAGGCTCTCAACCGTTAGAATTGTAAACATTTTAGTGGCCTTTAATCTCCAAATATCAGAATAGCAGTCGTGCAAACCCCCATAATCTCTTGAAAAATCTGACGTTGTTTTAGTCACTAAGACAGGACTTCAGGAGTGGCTGATACTTGGGGAGCAGACTTTACGGAAGATATTTTCCTCCATGTTGGGGAACCATGTCTTCGGTAGGAGTATTAACATCTAAACTTTTATTTTCGCAATGCAAACAAAAGTGCTGGCATCCTCGACGCTGTAAATCCGTAAGTTTAGGTTGGACAACAATGATAACTCCACTGTATTTTCTACTATTGTTCGCGATCAAACTACAGTTTGAACGGAATCCTCTGTTTACATCGTCGAAGTTAAACGCAAAAAGCTCCACGGCACACACCGATGCACCCAGCTTCGGAAGTAAAGAGATGAGCAAAAAAATGAAGAATGATGAGACGCCGACTCCATAAAACCAACTCTTTTATACTTTAATAAAACATGCTCCCGAACCGCGAATTCCGCTCGGACAATTGGTAATCATTGAAGATAATTGCACCGGCAGAGCGAAAACTCCGCGGCGGCGTTGCCGGGTTAAAAATTAATACACTTTTTCGGAGCATGATACAATATCGGTACATTCTGAGCCAAAATTGACAGGGCAATTGCTCGGAAAGAGATTCCAAACGAGGCGTGCCAGTAAGTAGGTAAACGAAGGAACTTTGTAAGTCCTCCAAGTTTTGAAACTCCCTATTGTGCGACTGGTAAGTACAGCAGCTCAAGCTGAAAACAATAGAGACTTATCGTATTGCCTCCTGTTGATTGAGTTTGAAAGCGTGATCCGCTAAGTGGAAAATTTTAACGGCGAATGCAGCGCAAAACTTATTGCCTCGAGGTATAACTTTTCTTGTCATCTCTTGGAATGCATGCATGGAATTGTTTATCGATTCTTGGTATATTGGCTCGCGGTTTTTTCTTTGTTTATTTATTTTACTTCGTAGAAAAAAGGGAGAATTCCAGCATGGATTCGATTAATTGCAACCGGAATGGACTTACAGGTGCATTATGAACACTGATGGATTTATCTTGTATTTCTGATTGACTCAGCTATCATAATGCCATTAAGCTATCTAGAAACCAAAGAAACAGGGCAGGTTTACATTAGAGGATCGAAATGGTTGAAAATTTGTTTTAATTATTGATTCAGGGCCCTGATTGACCAGACCATCTTAGAATCCACGGAACTATCTAGGATTCAAAAATAAATATATATAAGAAAATGCAGGTTACAATTAGCGACATACAATAATTGAAAAAAAATGGTTTTATTCACTCGTAGCACCATCCGTTACTCGTATGACAGAAATACGTCCAATTGTTCCCTTCCGTTGACTTTTTTTTTTTTTTTTTTTTTTTTTTTTTTTTTTTTTTTTCAAGTATATAGTTGGAATGTATCCTCATGTAGAAAATATATTTACGAAAAAGATAAAGGAAGAAAATGGTATGTTTAAATTAAAAATAATAACGTCACTTATATCGCAACTTACCAAGGTAGCTAAGTGTGGCGCTTGCAAGCCTATCTCTCTTTCATCTATCTGGCATTTTCTCTGAAAGAAAAAAGGGCGAATAATTATAAATCTAACTCATCAATCAGCAATGTAAAAAGTAAATGTATAGTTTAATGGTTAAATACGATTATGAGAGCTAAGAACAAAATGATGACGGCAACCATATAGGTACTAGTCATTGTTTCGATACTAATAACATTAACTGTGCAATTATGAATTTTGTTCGGTAAAAAAAACTTCAGGATCGTCAGAAAATCCGAATACCATCTCATGATAAAATTGACTCTGCACTTTAATTCCCTGGTAAAAATTGGCGATAGGAGCTGCGTTTCAAAATACCATAGGACTTCTTATAGCCGACTGAAGAAGGCGATAGAAAATCATATAGCTGGCTGTAGAAAGTGGGAGAAATCATACGGCCGGGCTACACGAAGCGATAAAAAATTATACAGCCGGGCTATAGTTCCTATCACCGGGCGTTACACTTTATCGCCTGGCTGTTGCTTTTTCGCCATCGGCTATAAAAGGCTATGAGAAATTGTGTAGAAATTCGTGTGCTTTGTAAATCCTTAAGTTTGTACGGAATCACCTTAATATTTACAAAACGCACATTATATTTTCCTTTACTACATATTTTTTTTCGTCAATTACAATGTGAATAATCCATACAGAGTGTGCAAACATTTCAAAGTCATGAGTTGAAAAACGCTGACTCCACGAGATTAAATATTATAGCCTAACACAACGCGGAGCGGCGGCGCACTAGCGCCTACAAACCTAACAGGGATACTTCACGCATTGCGCAATGCGTGAAGTATCCCTGTTAGGTTTGTAAGCGCCAATGCGCGTTCTGCGCTGGCTGCCCGCCCGCCGCGCCGCAGTGTACCACGGCGCTTGAAGCAACTATTTCGCACCAGAGGTATTGCACAGTATCAAACGAAATTGAAGGCCCTCTAACATATTAGGAATGGCAAGCGACCTTCAAAAGTACGGAGCTTTCCTCGCAAAATCAATCAAGATACTACGGCCCAAGATGAGAACGGTAGTCCAAAACTCACTAAGTCCTAGCATCCGTAATTAGTAACGTTTAGCATACACTTTATCACCAGGCTGTTGCTTAATCGCCATCGGCTATAAAAGGCTGTAAGAAATTGTGTTGCCGGCTGTAGAAGCTATTGGGAATCTTACAGCCGGCTGTAGGTCTATGGTATTTTGAAACACATATTCTACTGCCAATTTTTACCAGGGTTATTTGAGAATAACTCATGATTTCACGTAAAATGATGTTTACAAGTTTATTAAATAAAAATAATAAAGAAAATCCCATCTCATTAAAAGATCAAAGATACAAATTCGATCGATGAACTATGTTTGTTACGGCCAAATAGTTGCAAATGTCATTATTGGCTGCTACCATTGATACCATTATCCAATGTAAAGACGTTGAAAATAAGCTACGACTTAGGAATTAAGTTACATTTAAGTCTAGGTAACGGCGAATTCTTTTCTTCACTATCATAACTGGAAGGTCACTATCTTTGGCAACAATTGAATGGGGTAAGGCGGGGCTACCGCAAGCACCCCCCCTACCCCATCCCAAAGTTTCCCAAAATTTTTTTTTCAATTTTAACATGTGATATTAACCGCGAGTACAACTGAATATTACGCTCTCGAAGATCTAAAGTCTCGATATTATTTCTATGTAATAGCTATTTCTATTTCTATATAATAGCTATTTCTATTCGGGGATTCCTCCCCCGGCCAGGAGGACATCTTCCCGGCGCCCCCCGTCTGGTTTTTCAGACCCCCCCCCCCCCTTTAGTCTCTACCCACGCTCTGCTACTGGCGTGACTATCGGCTGTGACCTTTTACATACGCGCTATAGTTCCGACATGGATTAAGGGTGTGCATAACGATGCGAAGTGGTGCCCTAGGAAATTTCCCTGGAGTGTTAAGGTGGGGGGCATCTGATTATTCACCTCTCCTCGGAAGTGAAAGTACCTCGTTTACCATTGCCGTGACATTTTTCACTCGCCAAACTTTTCAGCTTTACGAGCACTCGCCTCATCCTCCGGGAACACCAAATGAGAGGTTTTACAGCTCCGAAATTTTGACCTTTCGGCTTCGTTATTTCTCCGAATGGTGTGACATGACGTGCAGTTCCAACCGTCTGACAAGACCGCTGGAATTATTTTTATGCGCTGAACCATTATTGTCAACGCTTTTCATGACGGTTCATGAGTCACATTTTGCGGCCACTCCTGTGCACTCTCTCTCAAACAACGTGGCCGTGGGAATGAATGTCCATATTTTCAGTTCCTTCAGTGCATACACCTTTCAAATATCAACAGAGGAGGAATTACTTGGTTAGTTAGTATATTTTAAGACATTCAGCGTCACAGGCTACTAACGTCATTTAACGGAATTGTCAATAATATATCCTTCCTCCGAAAAAAGAAAGATGAAACAGCAGTTTTTTGTTATCTTATTTGTCATAGTTTATTATGGTTGGGGAGGGGAGGTCACGTACGGTTAACGCTGTGAATCCAGCCTCTATTTCGTCTCCGTAAACACAACTTCATAATAATCAAGTAGATTCCTTAGTAGCGTCGGCTGTAAAAAACTTGACGGAAAGCAGGAAGGTGAAAATTCCGGGCAATATCCTCGGTTTTGGCATACTTTCCGAGGCTGAAAAATTCGAATTCTTCGCGGAAAAGTACCGGTGGGAGAAAAATGCAATTACATCCGCATCTCGAGCTGCCGAGATTCCCTCCTTGCTGGGGGTCGTCATCCCTCGAATCGTCGAGTCTCCCCCCGCGTCGCACAATGGATCGAGTCAATACGAACGGCCGGACAAAATTTGGAAACTTTAAAGGCTTGTAACTGGGTTTATACAAAACTTTCACGTTTTTAAAGTGGTTTCATTTGTTTCTTCGTGAAATTTTCATCCAGAAGCATCTCTTAAAATTTAGGATGTGACGAAATAAACATCGAAATTTGCAGTTTCAGTCAAGAATTCATGTCCGACCTCTCTGATTGACTCGATCCACTGTGCTCCGCGCTAATAAAAACGCCGTATGAGCATGCAAATGTCACCAAATTTCCTCTTGAAAAATATCTATTCTTAAGGAGAGTTATTAAATTTCTTCCATGAAATTGTCAGAAATTTTATATCAAATTGAAGCGCTGGGCGCAAAAAGAACATTTCTTGGTTGCGGTGTCTCAGAATCTTTGTTAATCTGTTCATCCCTTATAATTAAAGAAAATGTTTGGCATTCGTTGAAACTTTTACTGAATTTTTTTTTTTTTTTAAGATTAGATTTTACAATGCTGAAAACGAAAAGTATTGGCAAATTCAACCAATGGTTTCCTCCCTAAAATATAAATCAGCAGTGGAGATTCTGAATTCAACCAAGAAATGCCTTCTCTGCACCCATTGCCTCTACCACAAACTTTTGGAAAACAGATGTTTACAACGTCTCCAGAAAATTCTTGATTTTTAAATAAGATTTGGCAGCGTCTGAAGTCTCATACGGCGTTTTGCTCTGACACGGCAGCGCGCGGGTGCAACGAAAAAGAATCCTCCTTTGATTTGAGGACCCAGGCTATATTCACCTTCAAAAATCAATAGGTCCGTAAAACCGAACATTTGTAAAATGTCTCGCTATAAACTCCCCAACTCAGAAATGAGGAGAATTCTAGTTTTTTTGCGAGAAAATGAGTTTTTGAAATCACAACGTGACCGCCAAGTACATCTTTTTATATATCAATTTTCCTCCATTTATTTGCTCAGAAGTGGATTTTAGACTTTTTGGATACGTCCCATTGTAATTGTCATGCGATTTTACCAATGGGAAGTCTACTCACTTTGTTGTATCCCGTGAACATAACACTGCTACGCTGAAGAAAAATGCCGTATGAACATTTAAATTTTGCCAAATCTTCCTCGACAAAATGTTAATTTGCGAGAGAAATTGTACATATTTTTCCTTGAAATTCTTATATACTTTTTTGAGCAATGTCCTCATGAAAATTAGAAAGGAATGTTCGCAAGTTCCTCTGGAAATTATCATTGGCGGATTAAAGAAAATTTGGCAACGCCTGGAAGCACATACGGCATTATTCGTTAGTATGGTAGAATAGTCCTATGCGTTTGTTGCACTTGAGCAAAAAACATGGTATGAGGCACGAGAAAACGTTTTTACCTACGGACTGGACTGCTTGAAATTCGGTTTTGAAATTCAGGATTTCATACTGGTCCTTTCGATCGGGTGCCAGGCAAGTGGCGTATAAAAGAAAAATGTATAGAGGTTTATTTGAATTCCCTCCATTTTTGCCCTTTTTTGACCGGAGGGGTGGGGGGCAGAGAAAATTCACGGTACGTGAAGTCAAATCAGATATGAACGAGGTCCTTATTGAAAGGGAGCATGTCCGTGTTCAAACTGAGCCCAGGGCTACATGATAGCACTAGTATCCTGGGGTTCATCTAAAATCGGACGAATTTCCTTTTGAGGGATGCTCGGAGAGGTAGGTTCCGAGGGGTAGGAACAAGAACATGTTGGGCTTCTCCTGCGGAATGTGAGCGTCGGAATGTGAGTGATGCTGTATCGGAGGAAGTCTGCATCGCCGAATGGTGAAACAACAGTGAATCGGAAGATAAACCAGAAGTTGGCGTCGAGCCTCTCGCGGTTCAAGAACCAGGTATATTTCGCGTGCTCCCCTCTCTTATTTTCCGTGCTAAGGAAGAACGCCGTATGAACCTCCAGGCGTTGCAAAATTTCCTTGGATAAAACACGAATTTCCTGGTACACTTATTAATATTTTCCATTCGATTTTTCATATAATTTTGTGCACTATTCCACCTAAAATTCCTGAAAATGTCAAGGGAAAATATTCATAACTTTCCTCAAAAATAAACATTTCATCGAAGGGAATGTGGCAACTCTCGAATGTTCATACGGCGTTTTTCTTTAGCACGGCAGTGTTTTTCGTGGGGTTGAAAGGGAACGCGAGGGATGATCGCATAACTCGGGGAAAAG